GCCCGACAAGGATTGACCTTGCTCCTACGTATTCTCATCAAAAATGAGAAATCAGGGTTACGTAGTTCGTTTGAAATTGTTTGAGAAGTTTGTTTGCAAATTGTTTGAAAATTTGTTTTGAAATGATTTTGGATATTTAGGAAGTGAACCTGGCAAGGACTATCCTTTCTCCTACGTATCTGCACTTTTGATGGAGAATCAAGGATCACGTAGTTCTAGCTGAGAGATTGATTGTTTTCTTAAAGATGAAAGTTGTACCATATGGACCGGGCGGTCGATTACAACGCCGGGACTTCTGTGACTGTCGGAGTTTCTTCTATCTTTTTACTCCTGACAGCATTGTCGGGCGCGGCTTGCATAAATATTCACTACACGTGTTGTGCCACCCAACCGTTCATCCTTCCACTCGGGGTGAGTAATGACGGTCTACCGTACAGGCGGTTGTGCAAAGACTGGCCGATCGACAAACCGGGTCACTAAGATTATGATTAAGGTAAATAATGATTAGAGCTATTAGGCTAGAATTTGGTCGTGATTAACTGTTCACTAATCCCAAGCCCATAGCGAAAACTATAAATACAGGTCAGAGGTAAGTGGTAGATAGGTTGCATTTACTACACATTCATTACTATTTCATTGAATCGCCAACAGTTTCCGTACTAACTTTGGCATTGGAGAATCTTTAACAGGTTCCCCGTGGACGGTAAGAGTGGACAACGGAGCTTGGAGCGAGACCAGAGGACAAGAAGACAAATTGTGGAGGAGTTTGGTGACTTAGCCCCTAATAACTGAAACATTTTGGCGCCCACCGTGGGGCCGGGTTACTTGCAAAACCCAATGATGACCACTAGAAACATGAGTATGGACGATCTAGAGGAGATGATCCAGATGTTACAACAGAAGATGGAGGAGATGCAGCAGCGTCATGAGGAGGAACTCATAGTCGTCAGGGCCGAGTGTTCGGCACGCCTTGCCCGAGAAGGCACAGGAGAGAAGGGGGAGCGAGAGAAGGACAAGGAGAGAGGCAAGGCTGCCATGGAGGATCAAACAGAACATAACAGTGGGCCGGACAAAACGTGGAAACCCACAAAGCCGGAGGTTGAGGGAAGCAAAGCTAAATTTGTACACGCGGAGAGTGCCGCAGGGGACAAGCAGTTGGTAGTGAAGACCGAGTCCTCGTCAACTGTAACTCCCCTTCGTCCAGGCAATCATGGACGTCCAGATAACGGAGCAGTTCGTCCCGCCTCAGTTCAAAATATATGACGGGACAACAGACCCGGAGGCCCAAATCAAAACCTTTTCGAACGCAATGGCGTTCCGAACAGCCAACGACGCCATTTGGTGTCGTGCGTTCTCATTACCATTGGAGGGGGAGGCGCTCGAGTGGTTTAACTCACTCCCTCCCAATTCCATCGAGAATTTCGCTAGACTACAGCGTTTGTTCAATCGACAATTCGCCATCAGCAGTACTCAGAACTTGACCGTCTTCGAGTTGGTCTTCCTGACACAGGGAAAGGAAGAAACTTTAAGAGCGTTCATGGATCGCTACCAGAAAATCGTCCGACGAGTAAAGGGCTTGAGCTTGGATCTTTCCCTGTATTACATCCTTCCCGCCTCCAAGTCCGGACCGTTTAAGGACAGCGTCTGCCGGCGGGTGCCCAAAACCATGGAAGAGTTGCGAGAGAGGGCGGTAGACAAAATAAGGCTGGAGGAAATGAAGTTGTCGTATAAAAAGGAAAATCAGGAGAACAAGGGAGAAAGAGCGGACAGGGGGAAATCGGGTGGCCAAGTTGGGAAGCCTTGGGGATTCAAACAAAGAGAACCGCCCCGGGGGCCACGATTCCAACAATACACACTATTGAACACCCCCCGGGCGAAGATTTTCCAAGAAGCTTTAAGCGCGGAGTTAATCCCGGACCTGAAGAGGCGACCCATGCCGCTAGGGGCGGACGGTAATAAACACTGCATGTATCACAAGAACATGGGCCACACCACAGTGGAGTGTGTAACCTTGATGGATAAGATCGAGGAACTAATCTGTGCTGGGCAGCTGAAAAAGTATGTGCGGAACGATCGCCCCCACGCACCCATAGACTGACCCAGCCCACGACGAACCAGCCCTAGGAAACCCAAGAGGCACGGAAGTTCTAGAAACAACCGGACCGACCGTTCGCGATCGGAGAGGCAATAGAGTAGAAGTCGTAGCAGGAGCCACGACCGTCCCCTGCGAGGACACATCAATACCATATCCGGAGGTTTCGCTGGAGGAGGATCTTCCTCATCCGCCTGGAAGCATCATGTGCGGGCTTTACAGTCTGTTCACTCGGTGGACAAGCCACGGAGGACGATGTCCCCCATCACGTTTTTGGATGAAGACTTTCACGCCCCTAATCCCGATCAGGATGACCCGATGGTAATAACGGCGGAGATTGCCCGGTACGGTATAGGTAAGGTGCTAGTGGACCAGGGGAGCTCCGTAAACATCCTCTACTAGAAGACTTTCCAGCAGATGGACATATCGGAAGACCTGATCGTCCCATACAACGAACAAATCATAGGCTTTGCGGGCGAGAGGGTAGACACCAAAGGATACCTCCTACAACGTACTCCTAGGTTGGCCGTGCCTCAACGCTTTTGGGGCGATCGTATCAACCCCCCACCTCATGATGAAGTATCCCTCGGACAAAGGGACAATCTGCACTATCCAGTCGGATCAAAAACCGGCCAGGGAATGTTACGACGCAGGCCTGAAACTTCACACGTACGATAAGAAGGAGGACGGGTGGATCCAAGGTGGCTATGGTCGACCTTGACCAAAGGACAAACACGGAAGATCGGTTGGAGCCCCTTNGAAGTCGTAGCAGGAGCCACGACCGTCCCCTGCGAGGACACATCAATACCATATCCGGAGGTTTCGCTGGAGGAGGATCTTCCTCATCCGCCTGGAAGCTTCATGTGCGGGCTTTACAGTCTGTTCACTCGGTGGACAAGCCACGGAGGACGATGTCCCCCATCACGTTTTTGGATGAAGACTTTCACGCCCCTAATCCCGATCAGGATGACCCGATGGTAATAACGGCGGAGATTGCCCGGTACGGTATAGGTAAGGTGCTAGTGGACCAGGGGAGCTCCGTAAACATCCTCTACTAGAAGACTTTCCAGCAGATGGACATATCGGAAGACCTGATCGTCCCATACAACGAACAAATCATAGGCTTTGCGGGCGAGAGGGTAGACACCAAAGGATACCTCCTACAACGTACTCCTAGGTTGGCCGTGCCTCAACGCTTTTGGGGCGATCGTATCAACCCCCCACCTCATGATGAAGTATCCCTCGGACAAAGGGACAATCTGCACTATCCAGTCGGATCAAAAACCGGCCAGGGAATGTTACGACGCAGGCCTGAAACTTCACACGTACGATAAGAAGGAGGACGGGTGGATCCAAGGTGGCTATGGTCGACCTTGACCAAAGGACAAACACGGAAGATCGGTTGGAGCCCCTTGGGGAGATGCAGCCGATCTTGATAGGGAAGGACGCTTCCCAAACCATGAGAATGGCTCGGGGGCTAGAGCCCGAGTTGGAGCGAGAGATTTGGTCCGTCCTATGGAAGAATCGTGACTTGTTTGCGTGGACAGCCGCTGATATGCCGAGGATCCATCCCTCGTTCATGTCACATAAATTGGCACTATTCAAAGAAGCGCGGCCAGTGGCGCAGAAGAAGCGGATGATGGGAGAAGAGAAGAGGAGGGCCATAGAAGAGGAGGTCGATAGAAGAGGAGGTCGGGAAGTTGAAGGAGGCCGGGTTCGTTAAAGAGGTGACGTATACCACTTGGCTCGCCAATGTGATGGTGAAGAAGGCCAGGAGAAAATTGCGGATGTGCACCGATTACACCGACCTCAACAAAGCCTTCCCAAATGACTCTCATCCCTTGCCGAGCATAGACGCCTTAGTAGACGGAGCCTCCGGCCAGCTGATGTTAAGCTTCCTCGATGCATATTCTGGGTACAATCAGATACCCATGTAAGGGCCAGATTGGGAAAAGACGACATTCATCATTGAGAAGGCAAAGTTCTGTTACGAAGTTATGCCATTCGGCTTGAAGAATGTTGGGGCTACCCATCAGCGCTTGATGGACAGGATCTTCGCAGAACAGATCGGTCGGTGCATGGATGTGTACGTCGACGATATGGTCGTCCGTTCACCTGACGGACGATGTCATGTGAAGGACCTGGAAGAGGTGTTTTGGCAGGTCAGAAGGTACGAGATGCGGCTAAACCCGGCCAAATGCATGTTCTGAGTAGCTGTTGGGAAATTCCTTGGTTTCATGCTCACTGCCCGGGGTATCGAAGCCAATCCTAACAAATGTGCGACCATGGCGGAGATGCAGAGCCCAATCACCCTGAAGGAGCTCCAAAGATTGGTCGGCCGACTCACGGCTCTATCGCGATTCATTCCCAGGCTGGCCGAGAGGGTTAAACCGGTGGTTCGAAAGATGAAGAAGGGACCCACCGTCGAGTGGGATGCTAAGTGCGAACAGGGATTTCAGGACGTCAAATCCATTCTGATGAACCTGCCGGTGATGAACCGCCCGATGCCAAGCGAAGACATGTAGATCTTTCTCGGCGTGTCTGAGTCGGCGATAAGCGTAGTGTTAATGCAAGAACAACTCAAGCAGGCTCGTATACTTTCTCAGCCGGACCCTTCAGGAAGCTGAGACACGATATCAACAGGTTGAAAAGGTTGTCTTGGCCTTGCTGAATGCGTCCAAAAGACTCCGGTCGTACTTCTAGAGTCACCAAGTGGTTGTTAGGACCAACTTCCCCATCTCTAAGATTTTGAGGAAACCGGACCTGGTGGGACGCATGGTGGCATGGGCGGTTGAACTGTCGGAATTCGACCTGCGCTACGAGCCTAGAGGATCGGTCAAAGGCCAACATTTGGCCAATTTTGCGGCAGAATTACACCAGGTGATCAATGATGAGTGGAATTTGTACGTCGACTGGGCGTCCGGAAGAACAGTAAGCGGGGCCGGCATAGTCCTAGAAGGCCCGAACGGATTCCTGTTGGAACACTCCTTGATCTTTAAGTTCAAAGTGTCCAACAACCAGGTGGAGTACGAGGCCCTGGTGGCTGGCCTAGAGCTAGCGAGAGACATGGGGGCTCGAAAGGTCGTTTGCCGAACGGACTCCCAACTGGTGGTGGGTCAGATGAACGACGAGTTCTAGGTAAAGGAAGAGCAACTCCTCCAGTATTTCCATCGAGCGACTGCCCTGGTAAAGTTGTTTGATAAAATCAATATTCAGCACATCCCTCGCAAGGATAACACCCGGGCAGACATGTTATTGAAGTTATGTTCGAGGAAAGAGAAAGGGCAATTGACGACGATCATACGCCAAGTTTTGCTACAGCCATTGGTCGAATGCTTGACGGCGTCCAGTGTTGAAGACAGGGATTAGCGAATGGAGATCCGAACGCTAATGACCCAACAGGATGCGGGACAATCCATTAAGCCGGCGGACGCAAAAAAGATCGTTCGTTACCTTATGGTGGGGGACGACTTGTACCGGAGATGATTCCCCACCCCTCTCCTCAAGTGTCTCGGGAGAGAGGAAGCATAGTATGTCATGGATGAGCTCCATAACGGAATCTGTGGTTTCATACCAGTCATCAGGCTCTGAAGACCCGGATACTGAGAGTTGGATACTATTGGCCGACTATAGAAGAAGACGCTAAGGGATTCGTCCAGAAGTGTCTCGGCTGCCAGGTACACGCCAACAACACTCACGCACCACCCCACACCCTGCACACCATAACGCCACCCTAGTCATTCGCGCAATGGGGGATGGTCGGTCCGTTCCCAATAGGCGGGGCGTAGAAAAAGTTCCTCCTAGTAGTGATTGACTATTTCACTGAGTGGGTGGAGGCGGAACCTTTGGTGACCATAACGGCCTCACAGGTCCAAAGGTTCTGCTGGAAATTGGTGTGTCGATTTGGTCTCCCTCGGACGATCGTCATAGATAATGGCCGGTAGTTCATCGATAAGAAGTTGGCCGAGTTTTACCAACACCCTCATACAAACGGTCAAGTAGAGGCCATGAACATGACCATAGTGGCTGAACTAAAGAAGTGACTGGGTGAAAGGAAAGGAGCGTGGGTTGATGAACTCCCAGAAGTATTATGGGCTTATCGATACACACCGTATGAGACGACCGGCGAGACCCCTTTCAATTTAACATATGGCACCGACGCCATGTTACCGGTCGAATTGGGAGAACCTTCGTTGCGGCGCCAAATGGAAGACCTTCAACTAAACGATGAAGAGCTAAGGGTGGAACCTAACTCCTTGGAATAGCGGAGGGACCGGGCGGTATTGAGAGCCGAAGCGTGCAAGCGAATGGTGGAAAGAAAGTACAATTCTAAAGTCCGACCTAGAAACTTCTAGTAGGGCGACCTGGTGTAGAGAAAGACGGGGGAAGTAAGACGGACGACAATGCACGACAAACTCACGGACAAATGGGAGGGACCTTTTCGAGTAGCGGAAGCGTTGGGGAACGGAGCCTACAGGCTGCTGCATACAAACGGACGCCCAATTCCAAACACTTGGATCACTACTCACTTAAAATTTTATTTTAGTTGATTAGTACTTTCGATTGTACATTGTTTTCAATGATTAATACGATGACAGGGTGTACCCCTCTTTTGGACAAAGATTTCTACGATAAGCATTCCCATGCGGCGTTGAATCAAAAGAAAATCCAAGTTGATGAACGGAGAGTTCCAAACGGAACCATTGTCAACTTGGTCGGGCGGTGAAAAGAGAGTTCTTCCCGAAGAACCACTGCTGCCCGGAACCTACAAAACCCAAGTTGATGAACGGAGAGTTCCAAACAGAAACACTGTCAACTTGGTTGGGCGGTGAACGGAGAGTTCTTCCCGAAAAACCACTGCTACCCGGTCCTACGAAAATCCAAGTTGATGAACGGAGAGTTCCAGAAGGAACCACTATCAACTTGGCCGAGCGGTGAACGGAGAGTTCTTCCCGAAGAACCAGTGCCGCCCAGATCCTACGAAAATCCAAGTTGATGAATGGAGA